AGGGAAAAAGAAGAATTGAAATACCTTTGGAAAATTAGAGGATTTTTAATTAATTTAGTTCTAAGACAGCGTTTCTTAAATTTTGATGGCGTAGCTCCTAAAAATATGTGTATGTTATTTAGCTGCAAAAATTAAAATAGGCAGGGTTCAATTTTTTTTTTAATTTAAAAGTGCCTTTAACAAGGATAATGTAATCGGAGCCCTGGGGCTTTAAGAAACGCTGCTAGAATGTAATCATCGTCGTAATTAAATCCTGATTAAAACTTATTACTAATTTATTAATTTCTAAAATAATTTAAATTATGAATTGCACTGGTCGATCGGAATTAATTTTTTATTTTTGCTAGCATACGACCAATTTTTTAGTTTTTTAATATCAATAATTATTGTCACCCATGTTTTTTAAAGTAATTTAAAGTTTTCTGAATATTTGTGTATAAAAAATAACAAAATTATTCAGATTCTTAATTTATAGATATTAATCCCGGCGCATTCGCCATTTTCACGTCTTATAAGTAATACAAGGTGTCCCTAAACTTATTGTCATAAATTTAGGAAAAGATTAAGCAAATCAAAATAAGACGAAAACCTAAATTAATATTTTTCCTAATTACTTATGATTTCAAGATACAGGGTGATAAAGTGTTACTTATCATATCAGTTTTTTTAATATAACGTCTACTATGGTAGTCTTGGAAAGGTCACTTACTACCAAAACACATAATTACAATTGTTTGAGTGAACACTGTGTCGTAGAAACGGGGGTTGCTTTAAGCTTATTGTCCCATACAAACTTTGAGGTTAGGTCTTTATAACATTTGATGCAATTTTTCGATTAAACAGTTCGGCTACCATTAAAAAGGTGTACCTCTCAAACTTCGATAAAATAAACCGTTTCCGAGATATTCGAGATTACAATAATTGTTATATCGCATTATTTAAAAGGATTAAATGGTATATGATAACAAATTTTATTTTTTAATTTAAAAAACTAAAAAGGGCATTCCATGTGCCTCGGCATTTTTGCCCTGACCGTCACATTAAAAAAAATTGTAGTTTTTTCAATTAAAAAATTTGTTATCAATGATAAAATAAACCGTTTCGAGATTCGAGATTGTTATATGATAACTTATCATATAACAATCTCGAATCTCGAAACGGTTTATTTTATCGAAGTTTGAGAGGTACACCTTTTTAATAGTAGCCGAACTGAGTAATCGAAAAATTGCATCAAATGGTATAATAACCTAACCTCAAAGTTTGTATGGGACAATAAGCTTAAGCAACCCCTGTTTCTACGACACTGCGTTCACTCGAACAATTGTAATTATGTGTGAATATGTGTTTTGGTAGTAAGTGACTGCTCGCAAAATATCACCTTTCTAAGTCTATCATAGCTATGCATAGTAGAAGTTCACATATATTAAAAAAAAACTGATATGATAAGTAACACTTTATCACAGATTTTCGTCTTATTTTGACTTGCTTAATCTGCTCCTAAATTTATGCCACTAAGTTTAGGGACACCTTGTTTATTATATAATATATAGTATATATACTATATATTATATAGTAGGTATATTCTATAAAAAAAACATTGAAATTTCAATAATATAATATATTATGTGGAAACAATTTCTTGTTTTACGACATAAATTATCGTGGTTAATTGTGCCACTTTTAAAGAACGAAGCCAATTTTTTAAATTTAAAAATGCTTTTAAACACTTCCAACAAGGCTTGCAAGTGCAGAAATCGTTCCATTACATACATATTTTTTTATCTTGAATCGATCTTTATTGTTTTCAACAAAAAGTCAACTAAAGTGATCGATTATGATCTAGGCATTTAAAAATGATTAAGACCAAGGTATTAACAGCCCAGGCTATAAAAATTCATTATTTAAAAAAAAATTATCTGTCCAAACTAACTTGATACTTTTAATAGTATTTGTAACTCGGAAACGTGTGACAAAATGTTAATAACAATTTATATATTTTTTATGAATATTTTTATGATCCTTTTATCATCTTAAAATCTTCTTTTATATAGAACATTTTTAGTTTTAATAAAAGAGGGTCAAAATATGAAAAAAACTAATTTTTGGCGCCCTCTTTTTTTTAGGTACTAACTACATAAAATGTCGGCTTTGGTATTTTGGTTATTTCAGATTTTTTTAAACAATTTTCTTTAATAAAATCACCATCCAAAAATATTAATGTAATTTTTTTGGGAAAAAAATATGTTTAAAATTCTTTTTAAGTTTTTTTAATAATTTAAATTAAGGTTTTGCCAAAACAAATATGGGGTAACCGTAATTGTATACAGGGTGTCGCATAATTAGCGTGCAATATTTAACAGCAAATTCTGCCTACAAAAATAAGAAAAAAGGTTCCTATAAACATAGGTCGAGAAATGATTGAGGGAGCTACAGCCCTCAAAAGAGGAGCCCCTGAAGATGGTTTTTCTTTAATATCTCCAAAACCGTTCAAGATAAAGAAGTGAAATTTTAGGAAATGATTAAACATTTTATAGCCAATAAGATGTCAGATAGATAGGGAGTAGGGGTTAAAACCTTAAAACTTTTTTGTAGGTTCTGCTAGGATTTGATTGAGTCAGATTATGCATTTTTTTGCCATGTAAAAACGGTACATAATATCAAAGTTCAACAAGTTGACCTTTTTTTCTTGTAAAACTCAAAATTTTTATAATCTGACATTAGGGTGCTTTTAACTAGGGTTTTAAAGTGTCAAACAAAAAAAACAAAAAATTGTGGAAAACTTGTTTTTCCATTTTTATCCCAGGTCTTAAAAAAATTGTCTTTTTTGGGATAAATTAATTTTTTTCTCGAAAATATACAAATTTAAAAAAAGTAGCAATCAACAACTTAACATCATTTTAATTTAAAAAAAATATCCTTTATTACAGAAAAAAAAAATAAAACTAAATATTGAATTAAATTAAATTAGTTTTAAGAACATAAACGTAATCGTGAAATATACTGTCTGTGGGGTATTTTTTGCAAAAGTGAGTCCATTTAAAATATCCAATTTCAAAATAATAAATGATTAATAAAGATAAATTACAAAATTATAATTATTTTTTGCAAAAGTGAGTCCATTTAAAATATCAAATTACAAAATATTAAATGATTTATATAGATAAATGATTTATAAAGATAAATTACAAAATTATAATTATAGGTATAGGCATAACTATGCTATATATAAATATTAGGGTGGCCCAAAAAAAAGAATATTTTTTTCTTCTCGTCTCTTGTGAAAATATGTTGGTTTGTCATGTTTTAAGAGCCCTGTCAAAAGATCAGCACCATTAAAAAATTTTTAGGGGTCGCTTAAGATTTTTAAAAATTACCAAAATCGTCAAAAATTTGGATTTTTGTTTTATTTTAATTCTTTTTCTCGTCTCGATATTATTTTTTAGGTTGAAAATAATAAAAATTCTGTACATTTCAAATCAATATTTTGATTTTTAAAGGTCGCTAAAAGTTCGTTGATATTTATATTCAGAGGTCGCTCGAAAACATTCAAAATACTCTACTTTGAAAGTTAAAAAAATCTTGAGCGACCTTTAGAAATTAAAATATCGATTTAAAATTTTCAGAATCATTATTATTTTTAAATTAAAAAATAATATCGGAACAAGAAAAAAAATTAAAATTAAAAAAAATCCAATTTTTGACGATTTTGGTAATTTTTAAAAATCTTGAGCGACCCCTAAAAAATTTTTAATGGTGCTGATCTTTTCACAGGGCTCTTAAAACATGACAAATCAACATATTTTCACAAGAGACGAGAAGAAAAAAAATATTCTTTTTTTTTGGGCCACCCTAATAAATATACTATATATAAATCGTGTAATAAGTGTCAAAAAAATGTAAAATTTGTATGTTACCCGGTACAATATTCTTACTGACTAAATAAATATTATATTCTGTAAAAAATTGTAAATTTTCAGAAAAACAGACTTGCATTTTGTTTGTATTACCCTTTGAATAAAATGAAATAATTGCAATTTTTCTAAAAATTTCCCAATTTTTCCACGGTTTTTTTCAACTGGCTCAATTTTTTCGTAAATTTTTAAACCCTAGTTTTAACCCCTACTCCCATCTATCTGACCCAGTCCTCATGGAAATTTTGAAATTGTTATCATTACAACTTATTGTCCATAAAAAGTTTGATCAATTTCCAAAATTTCACTTTTCTATCTTGAAGAATTTTGGAGAAATAAATAAAAACCATCTTCTTTCGGGCGCTGTAGCTCCCTTAAAAATCATTTCTCGACCTATGTTGATAGGAACTTTTTTTCCTATTTTTATACACAGAATATGCTATTAAAGTATTGCACTCTTATTATGAAACACCCTGTATACTTACACACATGATCAAAATTGTTGCATATTTTTGTATTTTAATTTTCGCTTTGCATAACGTTCTGTTTTTTGTTGTTTTGGAATAAATTTTTATTTAATTGTTATAATACGTAAAATAAAGAAAATTTAATATATTGAAGTATTTTTGTAGGAAATAATAAAAATAAAAGTTTCGGAACCAATCATCCTCCTCGAAGACGATAGTTCCGACGAGGATGATGACTTTGACAAAAGTATTTAGATAAATAATTTATTGACAATAAAATACATAGTGTACATTACAATTATAAACAATTTTGAGAAAATAATCACCTTCATTCTATATATTAAATTTTCTTTATTTTACGTATTATAACTATTAAATGAAAATTTATTCCAAAACAACAAAAAACAGAATGTTATACGTACAAAGCGAAAATTAAAATACAAAAATATGCAACAATTTTGATCATGTGTGTATTTGTGATATTTTTGTAGTTATTTTTAGCAGTTTAGTATACATTAAACACTTCCTGCAGTAAGATGTCTCTATAAAAACAAGATTGCGCAAAAATAAATCTTGGGGCAAGCCAAGTATTTTTTTCTATCGGTGTGTTTACAAGCTTCACCTGATAGCTGAGTAGGTTCCCGTATCCCATATGGTTGCACGGACAGGGACAGTTCTGTATGTGGCTGCGGATGTCGGGGTCCAGCGTCCACCCGTTGTGGCGGTCACCGTATCCATGGCCCCCTCCGACCATCTGATCGCCGAGAGCATCACGACGCCAGCGTCATCTGTGCCCTGGCACGTCGTTCCCCTGCCGTCGCACGACTTGTTGCCACGACCGTACCGCGTGCTCCCGCTCACACGACTGCTCTGGCTGGCTGTCGCCCGCTCGCTCGCTGACGGCTCCTGATCCTGCCGCCGCCGCCGACGCGATCCTGCGGCCCAGGAGATCCTGATGCCCGCCTCCGCCGTTTCCATAGCGAACGATGAACACCACAGCAGCGTTGCCGAGTTGATGGATTTGGTTGTGTTTTTGAATACTCGACTAGTCACTTTTGTGACTGCTTGGTCGAAACATTATTCTTCAGATTATTTTTTTACACTGTTTTAAAAAACAGATTTGTTAACATAACTTTATAGTTTGTTTATTTTATTTTGTAATATTTTAACATAATTTTTTGTATAAAACCAGGGTTTTTGTAATGGTAATATGCAATTTTGTAAGCAATTATTTTGTCAATGTTTAACAAATTATTTCGTTGAAAAAGTACATTTGATTTTAGGCAGTGTAACGAACGGGGCATGGGGGCACACATTAATAATTAAAAAGAATATTAAAACCACAGAAAAACTACCTTTGGCCAAAACACGTACGTGATCGTCTAGTTTAAATAAATTAAGTTAGGACCCCTTTTTGTTGTGAATACGGTTCTGGATACGTAAGTACTTGAGCAATTGAAAAGATATTTAAAAAGCAAATAAAAAGTATTAAATTAAAATAATTTTATTAATAAAAACAATTTATACAAAAGTAAATATTATTGCTACTGGACTTTAATAATATAAATAAAACATTTATATTTGAAAAGTATTATAGATTTAAGTTAATAAGGTAAAACCTTAAAAACCCACATATACAATCCAGACATGCACATGTGTCGCACATCTAAACAATATAAATAATATAACAAAATCAAAGTAATCAAGTAATCAAATATAATATCATCCATCATATTATCATATTGCTAAGATTATTTACCAGGGCCGGGCCTAAGGGGGGTGTAGGGGGGGGAAGTCACCCCAGTTGGTTCCAAATCCAAACACGGTTGGCAAAATCTATAGTATTTGGGTCGGTTGGTTGGGTATACCTACCCTACCAACCAACCCATCACAATAAATAAAATGAAATATAATTTTTAAACTTTACCTACATATTACAAAATTATAATTTTTAATCTATTGTTACCTCCTATAATCGTTACCGTCAAGAAAATTGTATTGGTCAACCTTATTTTTATTAAAGGACATTATATTTCACACAAGCGGCATGTAAAAAGTCGGCACCGCCTCGCGGCTTTGTCTTTTTACGCACCGCAATTTTCGGCGTCTTATTTTTCTAGATTATTATTTAGTTGAAGCTAGTGTCAATAAATAGGAATTAGTTTTTTTTTAATATGGAAAACAAAGGTAAACCGGGCCGAATTCTAGTAAAATGCTCATTATGTGGATCTGTGTTTAACAAGGACAAGGACTAGAAAAAAATGCATGAGAAAAATATTCACGGTGTAAATTTGGTTAAAATTAAAATTGTTGCTGTTCCGGATAATCCACTTACATTGGCAGCAAATCAAAAAAACGAGAATCAATCCCATCGACTTCGAAAGAGCATGCTAATGGTAGGTAAAGACATTCTTTATCTACACTTTACAGCACTTTACATACATGATAAAACTACTGAAAATTTTTACTATTACTACTAAAGTATCGATAAAAAAAAGTTGTTTTTTTTATCGTCTCCACCCCCCCCCCCCAAAAAGTGTGCCTCGGTACGGCCCTGTTATTCACCAACATAAATGCTAGGCTCGGACGGTGTTTAAATAGCAAATACAAATTGAAACTATTATCAATATACAGCAACAAACAAAAACAATGTGTAAAATAAATTATAACGTGTAACTTAAGTCACAGAGAACATAATAAATAGTAGTAGTAAATAAAATATATAAATAACAAGTGGTAGTGGACAACGGTAATGCAATGCCAGCGGAAAAAAACCGTTTTTTTTTCGGAAAAAAAAACGAAAAATTGGGAAATTTTCAGAAAAATTGAGTTTTTAATTTTTTAAATTTTATTCAAAGGGTAATACGAAAAAATGCAAAAGTAAATTTTTTTGAAAAGTTCAAAATTTTTACGGATAGTATCCGTACACTGATTTGGAGAAAAAAGTGAATTTTCGACGCTGATTATAATCATATAATATTATGATTTTAAAAATTATTCCTTTTTTTTATTGAAAAAATAAATCCTAAATATCACAGTGATGATAATAACGGATAACATAACAATATATAAAAATGTTGGCAAAAAATATTTTTCTTACTACCTCGACTCAAAATACGTTGTTTCGTCCCCGATTTCACGGCAGAAAGTTTACGTTTCTTGCATTGGTCAAGCTATACGCGCACACTCTAATCCTAGGACTCTAATAGCGGGAGTCGCGTGCTTGACATTCAAATTTCGTACTGCCAACATGAGAAACACAAAAATATGACAGTTTTAAACCATAATTTTGCAATTATAACAACAAATAAACAATTTATGTTTTTACTTTTTTACTTTTTATGTTGTTTTAAGTGTTTAATGGTACTTTTATTTGTTATAAAGTAGTAATTTGTTAATTAAAATACAACCTTTTATTTTTACTGTATTGGCACCGCTGAATTACCATGACAACGCTACAGTTTGATTGATTTTGAATGTAAACGTCAGAATTAAATTAAACGTCAGATTTTAATTTTGACACAAATTTTTTTATATACATTTAATTTTTTCCCGTATTTTCTGCAGGGTAGTAAGAAAAATAGTATACACTACACGGGCAGAAAGTGTGAGAGTCCTGAACTGCGCGCAGCAAATTGTTAGGCATGTCAGCATCTGGAATTAATTTATCTTATTGTAAAGATTTTACTGTTAATGTTTACAATAAATGAGTTTTCATATAATCTTATAACTTGAGCTTAATTTAAGATATTAACACACTAGTGCGGTAATAAATTTAAAAAAGCACTAGTGCAATAATAAAAGTTATTATGACATTTCAAGGAGTGTCAAACCATAGTCATTACATGACAGTTGTAGATAAATAATATTAATATATTATTATTTTAATTCAGTAAGAATATTTTACCGGGTCGCAAAAAAACATATTCGGTGCTATATTAACATAAATGTTATTTATTATTTTGTAATTTAACTTTATAAATCATTCATTATTTTATAGTTAGATATTTTTAATGGACTCCTTTTTGCAACAAAAAACCCTATAGGTTACAGACAGTATATTTCACGTTTAGGTTTATTTTCATAGATTTAATTAAATGTTTAGTTTTATTTTTTTTTGTAATAAAGGATTTTTTTTAATTTAAAATAATGTTATTTTGTTGATTGCCACTTTTTTCAGATGAGTATATTTTCCAAAAAAAATTCAATTTTTCCCAAAAAAGGCAATTTTTCCAGGGCCTGAAAAAAAAAACGGAAAAAACAAGTTTTTTCCCCTATTTTTCCGTTTTTTTTTTCGACACTTTAAAACCCTAGTAGGTATGTGTTATTTTTTTTTGTTTAGAAAATTAATTAATAAAGGATCCCCATTTTCCAACAAATACTTTTGTAAAAAGGGCCTTTTTGAAAATTACAGGAATTATGGTTGAATTATTGATAGGATCTTGTTATTAAATCTACAAAATGTTTATTATAATTACAAACTACTTATTCAATTAGTTAACGGATTACAGTTGGTTGTATGTAAACCCGGATTAACATAAAATCTGATGATTTGGTAAAAATTCAGAAACATTTTATACTGTGTAAATAAATAATAATGTAGGTACAATACATGGTAAGTTACACTTTTTTTTATTTACAGTGTCTCCCTGATAGAGTTCAGAGTAGAAAAAACATGTTGCATGTTTAAAAAAAAGTAATTCTTTATAAACGTGTACTATTTCGAATACCATATTTTTGAACTTTAATTTAATTTATTATTATTATTATTATAATTATTCTTTATTATAGAAAGTACAGTACTCTCTACTGGATGTATTATTTATCTAATGGTATTTATTTATTTATATTATATAAGGTGATTTTGTGTGGTTTCAAGTGTTTGTAGGATGTCCCTTTCTTTCAGAGTTCTCTTTTAGAAAATAAGTTAAATGTCGTTTGGGTTACGGTTATTGTTGTTGCTTTATCCAAATAAATATCATTATTGTTTGTTATAAATTTAAGTGTTTTATACGTTTAAGTATTATTGTAAGAGATAATTATATAAAAATAAACGGGAGCCTTCCAAGTCTGGACCTGAGTTCAAACGTGATTTATTGTCTTTTATTTACTGTATTTATTGCAATCAAATCAATGAAATATCTATGTCTAATAAAATATACATATATAATAATAATAATAATAAATTTATTTGCCCAACAGAAAAAATTTCAATTACAGGACAAAGAACAAGAAAAAATCATAGGAACAGCATAACAGCAAAAATATAAAATAACTTAAAAATTAGTAAAATAAGTATACAAACAAAAATAAACTAATTAATGCTTAAAAAAGTACAAATAATAAACGACAATTCAGAATAGTTACTATTACACGTGAGATATTTTATTATAGTTGGTACGCATAACAAATATTGGCGACCGCAGTACTACATTTGTACACTGTTCAAAATTTCATGACCATTTTAACACCAAATTAACACCATACATGGTCTATATCGATACAAACCAAAATGGTGTTAAATATGGTTCGTTGGTCCGGTGTAAATTCAAATACTAAAATAGTGTAAATTTAACTTTCAAACAGTATTAAAATAAATTTTACCTGGTGTAAATTGAACTCCTTTTCAGTGTTAAATGTTATGTGTTTTTGGTCAAATTAAATCATACTACACAGAAAAAAAAGAAAAAAAAAGGAAACAGGAACTTCCTTGACGCATTACTAGTATATTACCAGTGGTATTATTCCAGAAAATTGAACCTTCAACTCGCTAGAGATAATGTTTATAGTGCGTTCCACCAACTTCAAATACTTCAAGTATTGATAGCTGTTTCCACCTATTTAAGGTATCTTTTGTATCGAACAACTTGTAGTTTCACACCAAAGCAAAGGACTACCTAAGCTTATATACTCTTCATGTAA